CCGATATTCTCAATGGCATTCCCAACGTTCGGCGGCAACTGGCTGGCAATGTGCCGCCGCAGCGACGCCGCCAGCCGCGGCCCCTTGCCGTTGGTGCTGACCATGACCTGCAGAGGCCCGTCGCGGTGGACGCTGCCAAAGTAAAAGTCGCACTCGGGCGGCACATCCGCGATGTTGGCCGGGATCCTCTTCTCCTTGCACAGCTTCCAGATGACCGTCGAGGCGGCCGGGTCGTCAATGGCCACCAGCACCATGTCGGCCTTGTCGAGGTCGGCCGGCTCGAACAGGCGGTCGATGTGCGTCACCTGCTTCTCGGCGATGCGGTATGCGACCTCTTCGTTGAGCCCGGAGGCGGGGCAGACGACGGTGACTTGGGCGTCGGCGTTGAGGCAGTTGAGGATGCGGCCGGCCGCGACCTGCCGGATGCGCCTGTTAGTCGCGATGGCTTCATGGCTGACGCTGGGCGAAGAAAAGAGAGGCAAGCCGCTGACATACCTCACCACCGCCGACCACTAACACGTTCTTGTCCTTGACGCGCCAGGCCAGGATCAGGCTCCCCCCCGGCTGGACTTGTGGAAACTGCTTGGCCATTGTCAAAAGCACTGAGTTGTAGAGTGGTGATTTTGTGTCCACGCGACAGTGCTTCAATGATCTGATGCAGATTCCAAGGTGTCGATCTTCAATTCGGATGTCTTTGCGTCAAACAATGTCCGGATCGGAATTGGGGCACTTTTCGACTCCGATAAGGCGAGCTGATTAGGTGTGACGACTGCATGTACCGGCTACTGGAAGCCACAGCACCTTCCAGCGCGCTTGACACGCGGCCGCCCGCTGCAATGGCGCCCGTCTAGCGCCCTGGCACAGCAAGCTGATCCCTGTAGCATCGAATCATTAGCGGGGAGCCATCCTCGGCAGCGACGCAACAGGCCGCACATGTAGATATACATGCGCCCACAAGCCCCCCCTCCTCAGCCAACAATCCTCCCGCCTACAGGCAGTGAGAGGCAGCTTGTCATTTAGCCTTCCCAGGATTGCTTCCTTCACGTTTGCTTCTGCAACTATGCAGCTCGACGCCCGGATCGGCCTCCTCTGGTCGTCTCGTCGTTGCGGCTTGCCTCTGTGATCTGTCCCCTTTTGGCCCCTTCTCCTCCTCGTTTCCCTCCCCCCCTCTCTCTGTATGTGGCTTCCTCTCTCTTCCGCCTCTCCCTCGCCCAAACACCACCACCCACCATCACAAGCAGCATGTCTGGACGCAGGCTCGGCGGCGGCAGGATCCTGGGCAGCGGCAAGGGCCTTGGCCCG